CCTCTTGGTGACCCGCGTGCGCGTGGGTCACCAAGTGGCGACCCGCGCCCCCACGCGGGTTCCGAGGCTCTCTCTCTTTCTCTTCGCTTTTCGATGTTTCCCGACTTTTTCGGACTTGTATTCTCCACCGTTTTGCGTATTTGGTTGTCTTGTTGATTTGTACGCTTTGCTAACTTGCTTCCTACGCTCGTTAGCTTCTTTACGGCACTTGAAGCTGGCTGACCAGCATAGCGGGCACTTGGAGCTGACCGACAAGCGCGGTGGTTACTTGGAGCTAACCGGCAAGCGTGGTGGTCACTTGGGTAATTCTTCTTGACTCGGATGATGACGTTCATCGTATTCTCTTCGTTTCAAGCTACATGCGGGAACCTATAAGTTTTTTACACGCCTACAGATACTCCCTCCAAAGTGTTTTAGCTTTATTCTTTTATAGAGGAGTCTGAAATGCTTTAGATGTGATAGTCTCCCACCTTCAATCGGTCAAAGAACCTATAGTTGGCTCCAGTTCTTGACTTATCCGCTTTTCAGTCTATTCAGTATTTTGTCGAATAGCTAAAATTTTTTCGGTGCTGCGTTTATCGTCTGACCGTTGTCAAAGTCTCGAATTGAAACTAACGTATTGGTTTCTGAACTTAGCTCATATCGTTGGGTCGACGTTGGACTGATTACCTTTCGTCGGGAATTCATATCTCTTGAACTAGGATTAATTCAATTCTTGTTTCAGCGAAAACTGTTGAAGTATCGATCTTCATCACAGCGCATTAACCGGCGTTGACTAATGACTACGCGTTGACCGGCGTTGATTTAGGGCTTACGTGTTGACCGGTGTTGACTTTCATCGCAACGCGTTGATCGACGTTGACTTTCATTGCAACGTGTTGACCGGCGTCTACACAGTTTATGCTCTTAAGGCGTTAGAGCGAGGAGGACCAGGTTATACTCGTATACTCCTGGGAGTTTCGGGAATCAGTTTAACCTCGTGTACCCGTCGGAGGTTGTCGGGTTAGAGTGAAATCAAAACCCCCAAATTCAGTTTAGGGTCTCAATTTGAAAAGAAGTGGTCCAGTTCATATTCCTTACCCAACCAGTCATTCACTCTAAGTGACGTTCATTGCGGATATGTCACCAGTCATTCAGTCCCGGGTTCTAGTGGTAGAAAACATATCATAGGATTACACCCCGGTGTGATGGATTAGAGGATCCGCCTAAAGGGGAGCTACCTATAGTGGCTCGCACAGTAAAGAACCGCCTTGTCATGCTAGGGCGAGAACTACTTGTCAAAAATTATAGATGCCATGGCTGGTCTCATTCTTCAGATAAGTTATGGTGGGGTAAGATGACAGGTTATGTCCTCCATCGATGGGGTGATGAGTTGAAGGTGATTGGATTGTATGAAGCTATTCATGCCCCAATACGGATTGCCGGTGAGCGTTATCCACTTCACTAGATTAATAGAGCTATACAACCCGGATACCAACACTTTCCTTACCCGGAATGGAGAATTGGGACTACCTTTCCATGAGATGCACAAAGTCTCTGGACTACAAATGGGAGACATGTCGTATCAGGAATATTTTCCCTCCAAGCGGGAGCTACTTCACTTGAAAACCCACAAGTCTGCTCGATACGACACGTTATGGGAACTTACGTGTCATTATCAGATAGCCGTACCCGGAACCAGTCCAATTGCGAGGAAGAAGTCTCCTCAAATAAGCCTGAAGCAATTCTCGGGTTATCTATTCAAGAATTTGGAAAAATCCGACGAAGCAATTTGTGAGCTAAAACCGCTAACTCCTTCGTAGATCAATAAGCTGATTGAGAAATGTGATGCCCAATCCTACACTATTGTGAGTGCCCAAGGTAGATTCTCAGCAGGGACTAAGTTTAAGACTTTCTTATGGTATGCGGAAAAGTCTATTCACCCCAAGACTTTGTTGGCCGGTTACATCACACTTTGGTTGAAGAAGTTCGTGGTGTCATATCAGACCTTAGACGCTTTGCCGATAGAGGTATTATTCCCTACTGTCCAGCTTGCCTACGGAAAGAGCTTATCTCTTCTGCCAGCAATGGTTGTCGACATGCATCGTGGGCTTCGTCAAGTGGTCACGGCTTTACTCAAACGGAGAGATTCCATCTAATAAGATTCCTATGGCGAAGGCGGAGCTCCCTTACACCTATCTGATGGGGTGACTGGTTCTTCATCGCCCCGATCTGATGTCAGCCCCAACTAATGCAGATATATCCACTCCTTTACTATAATTACTCGAGGAGTGCAAATGGAAAGCTCGGGACCTCTCGGACATTAGGAAGAGCTTGCATATTCACAAGGGTTGGGTGTTCAATCCATGCTTCCCTCGATTTGCACGCCGATATAGTGGGTCGCTAACCGACATAGAAGCGTTGGGAACAAGTCGGACTTCTCTCGATGTTGGCTGTTTCAGATGGCTGATGAACATAAGGCCAGGTTATCTCGTTTTTCAAGTGAAGGAACTCTGCTATTTAGAGCCTTATTTGCTGTGTCGGTTCGCCCGTCAATTTGGATACGACCAATTATACATTAGGAATCCGAACCAAGAGTTTCATACTCGTTGCGGACTAGTAGATGGCGCTCGAGCTTGGCTGTGGAATGTGACGAGATGTACTGGCGCCAAGTTCAGTCTTCCGAATAATAAACGCCACTTAGAGTTGACATATTTATGTTGCAAGTGGCTTATGGTAGCTAATGAGTCCATCCCTCTAAGGTAAATTAAGGAGTTGATGGCTGAAGTTGCATCGCGTATTACTGAGAGGATGGTCCGAGAAAGCATGCAGGAACGAAGGAGATGCGACAATAAGCTCACTGGTCCCTCAGGCAAAGGGAAGCAGAAAATGGAGGAGGTAGAAGAGGATTCGTTCGCTTCCGATGAAGAGAGTTCCGAAGAGGATGAAGTCACTGCTGGTGGGGGTATGGAGATTAACAGTGATTTCGAGGAACATGCGATAGGTTTGTCTGAGTATTTTTATAAAGAGCTATAGGATCTATCGATCGCTTATCGAGCTCGTCGATTTAATGCTCGAAAGAAGTGAAAATTTTTGCCCACTTATAATAGAATGATGGTTGAACTTTCAGATGTAGGTTCCGAGGAAGAAGAGGGGAGAAGTAACCTTGTCACTCGTGCCCGACCTCGGGCCACCACTCAAACTGGATTGCAAATTGAGCCGCGTGTCACATCAACACAGGATAGACCTGTGGATCTCAAAGAGGCTCGACCTGCAAAACGACTGAAGATGACTACCAAGCTTTAGATAATGTTTCAACTCTTGTTATCTTTTTAGTCCTTCCATCTACCAAGCTTTAGACTTAGCAAATTTTATATTCTAGGGGGTCATGAAGAATATGCAATAACGTAAAACCCTCCTTCTCCCGACTTAGATTTTTTCAAAGGATCCAGCTTCGTGCCACAAGCAGATGAGGCTGTGGCCGAGGATCCGGCAGGTGTTGAAACAGATGCGGCCCTTGAAACCGGCAAAGGTGTCGTTGTAGAATCTGGTTTGTATACAATGATCGCTAGCCCAGGTACATCTATTATCAGTAGTACACCTTTCAGATGGCAATATCGGGTATTAAACAACTCAGAGTCCGTCCCTCCCCTAATTGTTTACATGCTTCTAGCTCTTTTAGAAAAGCTACAAGGGGCGAGTGCGGATGTCGGGATCGCAGAGCCTACCGTTTCCACCGGTGGTAAGCTTAATTCCCATTCATTGTTAATTCTCAACTTCTCTTTTCATGTCTTAACACTTAGGCTTTCCTGTAGATATTTCGATGGAAGGTTTAAGTGATAAAAAAACCTTTCATAACGCAGCCGACACACCTTCATCTGATCTTGTACAAGATCCTTCGGGATCTGGTGACAGGTTGTTCGACGATATGTTGTCAAAACAAACTCATCATGAGGCTGTCGAACCAATCATTGAGGCTGGTTCCTCTACCGGTATGAATTTTATCCCTTTGTGAAAGTTATTCACTTATCGGTCTTACTTAACCGTAGGGGAGTTATACGTAGGACCAGTCGTTGAGACTGACGCAGCTACTATTGTTGAGATATCTGACA